CTCCCAGCCTCAAAAGAACAAGGGTATTTATTTTGCTTTAATCATCTTTGGATAATTAAGTACAATTGTCATGGTACACAGTACAGGGCAGTTCCTGGTACAGTCAGTGCTCAAAAAGATTATGTTCTAAACCAACATATTTTTGTCCCCTGTGGTAGCACTTGCTGCCAGACTTAAGATATTAAGACCTAATAAACAGTAAAATCTCTTCAATTCACCTTTTTTGGGGGTGGGGGTGGGGGAAGTCTCTAAGTACTTACAATATAAATGAAGGATTTATTAAAAGAATGCCTGCTTACAAGCAAATGTAAGAAGTGGTTATAATACTAAAATGTTTAAAGCACTGTCCAAATTAGTTGGTCTATTGATTACAACAGTTCTTATCTGCTGAAATGGGAGTAACCTTTAGTCAGCATTACTTTTTGTTAGTTTAGTTGGCGCCACTGAATGTACTAGGGAAAAATATTACAGTTGTAGTACAAAGGGCAAGGGACTAAGATTCCAGTATACCCTCTGCTGATAACCAGACACATTCCCTTGGGCTACTCATTTTTTCTTCTTTGGGTCTTAAATTACCTATTTGTACAATCGAGAGTTGAACTACCAATCCCTGGGAACCTTTCCAAGTCTAACCTAAAAGAACAACAACAAAAAAGATTTTCAATCCACAAAGATTTTAACTCAGATTTCATGAATTGCATCAAATCTATCTTTGGAATGTTAGAATTTGTTAAACTTAATTTGTTACTACATTTTCTGAAGCGAAATAAAGACCAATTAACAAAAATCATTTTGACCATCTATATCAGGAGCAAGAGGAGAAAACCAAGGAAACGAGAGCCTCCTTGCCATGTGGGCCAACATGAACCACACTGGATTTTACAGTCTACACCGTCCAGCTTTTAATAGGTAAACATTGATACATATTTATATTGACATCTGTGTGTGACCTTTAAAATGGCCACTATAAAATTCATACTTGTTCATGGTAAAGCGTCCAAACAGTGTGCATCAGGCCAATTGTGAAATACAAAGTCAGCCTCTCAACACTTTTAACCTGAACTGCAGCCACTTCTAGAACTGGCTGGATGGCAATGAGTTTGATTTGTTTTTTTGGTTGCTACTTCTTGAATGATTGGGGACTGGGGGAATCTCCAGGTTTCTTAAGTACATACAATGAAAGTGCTAACTAGCGGAGCACAAAATGGAATACTCTTCAGATACCTCTGTGGAACAGAATACATTTCAAGTTCATGTTTGGAGGCTGTGTGGGACAGTTGCACCTTAGAAAGTGCAGCGGCCAAGGAGCTAGGCCACCTGGAGTCTCATCTAACCAGTAGCGTGGCCTTAGGGAAGTGAAGACATCTCTCTGTGCCTTAGTTTCTGCTGTTGTAATATAACAAGAGTCATACTAAGATCCCTCTCAACTCTAAAATGTTATAATTCTAAGATGGCTGTCTTTAACAGTGTTCTCTGGAATGGGTTGCAACAAATATTATTTAAGTAAAAAAAAACAAAACAAAACATCACGGCAACCTTTCACCTGAGAACATTTCTGCTTCCTTCATTCTCCAGGTATAGTTGTAACAAAACGAGTCACAGAAGGATGCTTGAGAGCAAAGTAGTACATCAGAGGTTTTTTTGAAACAAAGCTTGGAGTTTTTTTTTCTTTGTTGTTGGTGGGGAAAGTCTTACTTCGCTAATTAGCAATCACCAGCCCGCCCACCCCACCCCATCCCACCCCACCCCCTGCTCCTCTCCAAACTAATTAAGCACATTATAGAGTGAAAATAATGAAAATGAAAGTCAAATTGCTATTTTGTTTTACTCACAGACTATGCTGGGGAGGTGGCTTGGGGGCTGCAGTGGTTGGAAAGAATTACAAGCTAATTTCCTCTTCCGGAAGCTCTTTGGCCCTAGTTCTTTCAGTTTCACACAACCTTGCCAGGCAAACTCCACCCAGTGCAACTGCGGGCATCACGTGGGGATCATTTTTTTATACAAGAAAAAGTTCCCGGACTCTATGTACAGTCGGGGTCAGGGGGTTCG